ATAGGAATCTCTACTCGTCACTTTTAAGCATCAGATTTGTCCACGTTACACGGAATAACATCCTCTGCAAGATCAGGCATGCAAGACACTGTTGACGGAGGAAACAAGAGGGGACGCCAATCCAAATGTAGGTCAGACAACAGTAAAGAGTGGAGGAACATTACTATGACGGAACTCCTGAGTACCAGTCTGCAGACCATCCTTCTGTTTCTTCTGTCCTTAAGCCTCACTGACGATTGAAACAGTCGATGGAATGATGATGAGGATTGGCTATTATGATCGAGGGTTTTATCTTTGTCGCAGTATATTTGATCTTCTCGTATATCTTGCCTGTGCTGGTCTATTTAATATATTTCCTTCTCTTTTAAAGTACCTTCTTCCACAGCATGTTATTTTGACTATAGTTCTTTCCGTTTTTCTCTCCAAATCTCAACGGATTTCTTCTTATTTATAGTTTCACGTTTTGTGTTTTTCTGATGTGCATTTTCGTTTTGTACATTTGTTCTTCAGATTCTGGCTTTTGTAATCTTTGATTTGTGTCTTTTTATCGAATCATCCGAACTTCTGTTGCTCGACTTCTCACACTCCCCAAATGCTAATTAATCTAATTAATTAATGGTAATTAATGTACCAGGTGCTAATTAATTCTTCACTACTGTTAGTTTCTGGTTCTAGAAGTGAGTGATGGGAGTAAAAGAAAACAACAGTACATTTCCCGTATCGTTACAGAAATTTGATTTTATGTAAATTTCAGTCAATATTCCAACAGTTTTATATTTATATTTATTTTATTTTATATTTATTTTATTTTATTTTATTTGTTTGTTTTGATTTTATTTTTTTTACGATATATTTTGTTTTTGTAGGTTTATCCCACTTTGTTTCATTATTAATTTATTAAGAACAGATGATAAAGTGAAATAGACCAGTTTTATATTAATCGTAAGGGAATTATAGATTTTGTGTCTTTCAAAGCATTTTTTCAGTAGATTATATCTTGTTATTACAACAGATTTTAATGATGACAATTGTGATCACGTTGATTTCGAATGAACACAAGCCCATTGTGTGTATTGTCAAATTATACGTCCCTTTAGGATATAGATTTTTTTATATCTTTTTCTATCTGGGTTCACCAGCGAATGCGTAAATACAAATTTTAAAATTGACATATATATATATATATATATATATATATATATATATATATATATATATATACATATAGTTTGTCGTTGCTTTTTGAAATTTTTCATGCATCAAAAACAGACTATAATTATTTTGTCCGTGTATTGTTTGATATATTGAAATGTAATTGTCATCTTTGATAATGGTTTATGTAAGCCGAAAGCTTAGATAGGATTAAAACATGCATCACTATGGTGATTTCCTCTCGTCTTTCAATGATAATGTTATTAAGCTTATCAAACAATATGAAAGGAACTTACTTAAAATAAACAGACAAAACTTGTATATTATTTAATGAAACATGCATCAATGAAAAATTGCTGCCTAAATACACACAATATATATATATATATATATATATATATATATGTATATATATATGTATGTATATGTGTGTATGTGTGTGTTTAAATTTATACTTTTACACAATCGTAGGTTTACTTGTCACTTGTTAAAAGTTAGTGCAATTCGTGCAAATATAGAGCAGCACATCACGAACAACCAAAATAGAACCTAACTATGACTATATAAAAATATCAAAGAAATATTAGTGGATAATAACAATAATAATGAAATGCTAAACAAAATCCAATGCAAAGAAATATTCAAAACCATAGAAGCATGTTTTATATTACAAAATCAACCCACATTGAATAAAATATATTTCGCCACAGGATTGATGTGCGTATAAAATATTTATTAAAAGAAAAACAAGCACATAATAATTTACTTTCTGGTCTCGTTCCCTTCAATCGTTATACATGACGTCACTTTAGACAGATTTGAAACTTTCATTTCTCGATAAAAATAAAAAGGGGCCGCTGAAATTTCTTGGACGAAGGAGGGGTTGGAAAATTTAATTCTCAGAGGGCATATTGCAGAGATTGGCAAAGGTATAAGCGCTACTAAGGGCCAGAAGGGATAGGAAGATAGGGAAAGGCCTGATCGCCCACGTCCTGAGGAGATGCTGTACATAGAAGAAGAAGAAGAAGAAGAAGAAGAAGAAGAAGAAGAACAACAACAACAACAACAACAACAACAACAACAACAAGAACAAACCAATGAAACCATGCTTCTTCACTGATAATACATGGATTTTGATAATGACTGGGGCAGCAGACTATGTCTGAACCAACTCAACAGAACAAACATGAAATTCAGACAGCGTATTCACAGTTCTAATCCATACATGCAGCATCTTTTTGAAACAGACAGACCTTGTCAGATGAATTTAATAAAACTTGTTTGTAGAAAAACCTTCTGCCTAAATTATATATATGTGTGTGTGTAACTGTGTATGTGCCTTTATATGTGTATATATATATATATATATATATATATATATATATATATATATATATATATATATATATATACTCACTCGACTCTCCCGTCAAATTCGACGTATGAGGGTCAAGCAGATCAGCTCCTAGGAAACCGACAGCCCGACAACAGCACACGACATTTAATTATAGTGGTGAAGGTTTCGTGCAGGACCATCCACACTTTTTGAAGGGCCGAATACAGAGACCTGGTACACTTCGTGCCACAAGGTCCCCAAACGACCCTCCGCAGGTTTTGAATTCAGAGTTGTCCTTCTCCTAGACCAGTTGCCATCCAAGGCTATAGAACCCAGTCTGTTCTGCTATTTACCCATAGATGGAGGGAGAGGAAAAGGATTCACACCTTTCCCAAGGGTATTAGCACGTAAGTGAATGTAATATATATATATATATCAGGGGTAGTCAAACCGCTTCTTGCGACCTACATATGGCTGTTTGGCCTTTAATTTGTGGCACCTGAAAATATGTTGGCTGTGAACTTTTTTACATCACAGTTAATATAAAAGGTAAATAAGAAAAAATTCAAGCTTTATAATTATTTACTGGGTATGAATAAACACCACATTGGTGGTAGGATAGAATCCATGCATCAAACCAAATATACTCAAAACATTATTACATGGATGCACAACAAACGTTCCCTTCCACGACCATAATGGCAACATGTACACCCAAACTAATGGTGTTACTATGGGAAATCCGCTCGGCCCGTACTTCTCAAATTACTTCATGTTTAATGCAGAAAACATGATATTTAAACAGGTCTGTAAACCTAAAATATATGTACGCAACGTAGACGATATATTTATTCTAGCGAAAAACACAAAATAAATAGATACTCTCAAAACTACATTTGAAAACAACTATGTCCTTAATTTTTCCTATGAACTTCGTCAAAAAATAAACTCCCGTTCTTAGACGAATACAGTAACAACACTTTTAACACCTCGTTGTATAAAAAAAAACACTAGCAGGTCTCTTGTCGCCTTAATTTTAATAGTGAATGCTCACGCAGATACAAAAACGTAGTAATAAAAAAACTTCCTAAAGAGAGCATACGAGAATTCATCCTCTCATCTTTTTTCCTTAAAGAAATCAACAATGCAAAACAGAAACTAGTTAACAGTGGTTTTCCTAACCAACTCATCGATCACTAGATTATACTATTTTTTCCAAACTAATAACGATATTGAACACACAAACAAAATTGACATAAATATTTACTAGAAAAATCAAATGCACATCAACTACAAACAAAATGAATCTTTACTTAGAAACATCATAAAGAAATACACTACCCCAATTAACCTGAACAAAAACATTAAATTAATTATATACTACAAAACATTTAAAACAGCTAACCTCATCCTCAAAAATAAAAACATACCTTCAATATCAAGCTACAAAGAACGAACATTATTTACAAGTTCAAATGCCCTTTAAGGAACTGTTTTCCTAATCCAATCAAACTCATAAATGTTTACTTCGGTCACACTACTACATGCTTATCCAGACGACTTACGTTACACCTATCCGAACACAGCTCCATCAAAAACATTTTAGACACACACACAAACTTACCAGATTCCATATGAAACATACTAGTATAAAATACAAGCATAATAACCTCATCAGCATGTAAAGAAAGATTAAAAATAATGGAAGCCTTAATAATAAAAAAGAAAAGGCCAACACTTAATAATATTAACTACTAACAGGGCCACAATGTGCTGACCGTGTTCGGAAAATAAAACATCCCTATAACTCTAGATACATACACACAACATATACATCCAGTTACAAAGTAAAACTAAAATCATTCTTGAAAATGGCTAAAAGTATAGCCGAAAGTGCTCGGAATTACAGAACATTTGGACAGTTTCTATACGCTCGGTGTCCAGAAAAGAAAAGACTTGTTTGAATACAAGAAAAATTAAATAAAAAGCTTGATCGCAGTAACTTGTCTGTCGTCTTTAATGAAATATTTATAAATGCAGGATTGCTGCCTAAATACACAATATATATATATATATATATATATATATATATATATATATATATATATATATATATATATATATATATATATATATATATCACAGATGACTGGTTATCGTCGTTCGATATAAATAAATTGGAAATATCTTCAAATCTTCGTTCCTCATCGTATAATCTCGCCAATGACAGAGACGCAAAGCACTATGGATCCCCTGGTTGTCAGGCATCTGCATATCCCAAGACGTTTAGGCCTACGTGACCAGCGATCAGTGTCAGAACCCTGAAAAAAGTAACTTTATCTTTTTCGAAATAAACATTGCTTAAAAAATGTAAATGAATATCACTAAGTTTCGTAAAATCTTTCAGAAGGACACTTGAATACCCACGAGCCTCGCGAATTGGTCTGCGAAGTGCCACGGTTAATCTTCGCGCTATAGTAGATACGTGGACTTGTTATGTGTTAAGTGTGACACAAGGCTACTGATCCGTCTTGATGGTGAGACGACTTGACGTGGTTATACGGACTGCGTGTTTCAACGACTCCCAGAGATATGTAGGCGGGGTTTCGGCCTTTAGCAGGTCCAACGAATATCAACAGGTCTGTGGAGGAGTAGCCAGACGAAAGGCACACCCTGGTCCTCTAGGTTGGACGTTGTGCAATAGGCTAACAATCTACTCACTTAAAAAAGTAGCTTTTTAGAGAAAGCTCAAGGATATATTTAAACAATGCATGGTCAAGGAAGGGTCCCCCAAAGTGGATCGTATGAAAATTCCCCGAGAAGGTAGCCGGCACTACATGGGCTGAACTGAAGAGGATCGCCCAGAACCGAGTCCATTGGAGAGGCGTTATTGCGGCCATATGTTCCCCAAAGAATTAAGCGGTTTAATGAATTAATGAATGAATGATATGAGGCAATCATTCGTAATCAAAAAGATTAAACTAGTGAACTAACAGCGGTGTATTAATAAAAAGAAAAAGAAACGTCGTTGTTAACGAAGTTTTTCTCAATCTGGCACAAGGCCAATGAAGATAAGACACAGTAACGGTAGACACACCAGAAAAATATTGATCTGCGAAACGAGTTTCTTAGCTATTTTTCTGCGGTAGTACATTTAATAAGGAAAGAATGTTTAGAAAATATGACACTCATATGTCATTGTAAGCAAGAGTGACAGGATAAACCAAAAGCAACCTCCTTAACGAGCTTATGACAGAATAGCGACTAGGAGTAATTGTTAAAGGGCATATATATATATATATATATATATATATATATATATATATATATATATATATATATATGTGTGTGTGTGTGTGTGTGTGTGTGTGTGTGATAAGATTCTGGAGAGAAATGTCTAACACAGCACAATGAACCAACTTTCGTAGCAGTTGATTGAAACGTTATAGTAACGTGGCCACATCACTTATCCACAAAGTAAATTAGAACATGTCTAAAACGTTCCAAGGGTTCCGCTTTAGTTGAGTACAATGATAATCAGTAAAGATCGAACTCACTGAACCGGTGACTTCTTATGCCTTATCTATTTCCTACTACCATGTAACCCAGCACTTGGTTGGGTCATCGACGACTAAATCGATCCCTTGATTATGCTTTTCTAGCGCGGAGATTGTCTAGACACCTAGCAGGAGTAAAAAGAACACCCGCAAAACAGCGGATAGACCTTCTTCTAAGGTCAATGTCCGTCTAGATCTTGCGCAAAGGGGTAGACTGGTCCTCATAGCTATTTACGCAGCCGGTGCACTGATGAGGTATTCCCAGTTTGGTCAACAACCAGGTCGGAGGTTTATCCTGATGGTATCAATTGCCACGTGTCTATGACCAAGGCAAACTACTAAATACTTCTACGGCTTTCATCCCGGATATGTGGATGCAACTAGTCGGGCATTCAACTGCAAAGCAAACACAACTGGCGATGGGACTAATGATGTTAACGATGAAAACGTTTCATTTAAATGTTCATAACATCAATGTTCAGTCCAATTTTAAACAATTAAATAAAGTTTTTTTTTTGTTTTTTTTTTGTTTTTTTTTGGTTAAAAGGTTCTAATTTCAGCTGATAAAACATTTTGTAAAAAGAGTTCACTGAAAAGAAACGAAAGGTAAGTGTTATTAATTACTGTTATTAATTAATATTATTAATGATATTAATTATATGTTCAAGTGATCAGGTGGGGAAGAAGTCTTTTCAGAAATTGGTGTTGGATTTAATGAGAAAGCGGACGTGACCAATGTGGTAGTTGTAAATAATTGTCTCTACCAGACGGTAATTGTCTGTTTACTTATTGCTCTCCATAGAATCAAGAGGATTTTTGCTTTAGGCGGGAGAAGTTTTAATTGGCTGAAATACTTCCTTAGTTTATTTCCTACGCGTATATTTTTTTTATTTATATATTAGCCAAGGAAGCGTTAACTTACGTTTTCGCATCCCATTCACTACAAATACTGATAATTATGTACACTTCAGTCTTTATCTCAAACTTGACTTATATATGAATAATGGGCTTATCGGTGAAAAAAATATATATACCCCTATATATCGCTTTTAATTAACGATGATCCAATATCCTTATTGGTTTAGTGAGACAAACTTAATCAGGCCAGACATTATTAATTACTGTTAATTTCGTTTCGTTTTAGTTTGTTTTCTTGCTAATCATTAATATACTTTTTTCTTCCACTTTTTCAAAAGAACTATCTTAATGTTTTTGTTTTTTTTTTTCTTTTTGCTTACTTAGATTCGAAAACCGTCACCAATGGATGTTCAGTTATGATTGTAGCAATAAAATAAGTGAAATAAGCCCAATGGTTACTCGCCATATTTGAATCTAATCCCCATTCGGTAGCATCTGATCTCCACGATTAACCATGACTCGTTAAGATTAGGTATTCCAATACTTCGCTAAAAAAAAGCATACCCTGATGAAAAATGGCCCTAAACTTGATTAAACTATTTTTACCATCTAAACATTTATGTTATTATTAAGAGGAAAGACCAAAGTATTTTTTAAAATTTTTAAAAATATTTTGATCTTTTTTGAACGTCCGAAATTTTAGCTAAATCTTGTTTTGTTTTTTTACATAAAATCAATCATTTCAGCCATTTTTGACAATTTTGTAAACAAAAGTGAAATTCTCCGTTTAAAAATCAATTATACTTTTACAAAAGTTATTTTAAGAAAATTAGAAAATTTAAAGTTTACTTTATAAAATTTGAAACAAACATTACTTATTTTTAAGCAGAAAGATTTAGTTGGAAATAAGGAAACAAGTCTGTGGTGGATTTGTGAATTATTTGGCTTCACAAAAATGTCCTTAAAGTATATTATTCATAAAAAACATTAAAAGCTTTTTTTTAATTAAATAATGTCTTAGCTTTATTGGCTTTTGTATATTACAATTCAGAGCTAAAGTTTGGGTACAAAAGTCCTCGATTTACAAAATTGTCAATTTTTTATATTCTTCAAAGTTTTCTACATTTAATTAAAAATTTAGAGAGATGAGTATATTCAAGTTTTCATAAAATTAAGTAATGGGGGTAACAAATGTAAAAAAATATTTTTACCAGGAGTTTTTAAAAAATAAACATTTCTAAAGTAATTCCATTCATTTTTTCATAATTTCTGAAAGTTTCATTAAAATTCGACAATTATTTGATTTTTGAAATTATTCCCAAATTAATGTTTTTCAACTGAAAAAGGCGCTAAAAACTAATACTAAATATTACGCGACCGCTGATGTAAAAAAAAAAAAAAACATGATATTCAACCAAAATTTCGAACGTGCTAGAAAAGAATAAAGATCTTTTAAAAATAATTAAAAATACTTTGGTCTTCCCTCTTATTAAGACCATTATTAATACCATTAACTTTCTCACTTATTAAGTTTGGGGCCTTTTTTCAACGTGCTATGCTGTTTTAGGGGTGAATTATTGGATATACCTAGTTATTATCTATTCAAATCAAATTCAAGAAAATGGAAGTACTCCGGACATCAACAGCTAATTCTTCAAAAGTAGGTCAGGGATATTACAATTCAACATTTGAAGAGATAACGTAGGTTTCCGTATTCGATGAAAATGGTAATTGTATTACTAGCCATTTATTTACAAGGAAATGGCTAGTATTTTATTGACCGAGCAACCAGTAATGGAGTGCTGAAAAGTTCTTAGTACCCACCCACTTCTCAGCAGAATTTTGTGAGGATGGGTTTCTGACAATTTTTCTAAGACGTTGGCCATTTTGAGGAATCTTGAAAATAAGCGTGTATATTATCGCTTTATATAATGTCTGCCTAATTAAGCCATCAATTTCTTGTAACAGAAATAAAAAGACAAACCGGAATTAACATATGCCCTGACAGTTTTTCAGAGAATGATTTTTAATATTTTCTTTTCCATTTCTCTCATTCACGACAAAATATTCATATATTTCTCTGATGTTTTAGAGTCAGTGTTACAATTATCTTAAAGTTTCAAATAGAAAATCCGGAAAAAATCAACCCGAGACATTTTTATTTCAGCCAACTTCCTTCTTATTTTAGGAGCCGTGTCTCTTCAGGACGTATGCGGTCATGGCCCTCTACATCGTCCTGTCCCTTGTAGCGCTGAATAAGTTTTTTCTTTTTCCTATTTCTCCCAAACACAGTTCTACTATGCATTTTCTCAAGCTCATCAACTATGTTACGCATTGCTTTCCTCTGTTCCTCTTTCCATCAATCTGTCCTTTGAGTATCATGTTTTTCAAGCCGTCCTTCCTCATTACGTACTCCAGAAATTTCAACTGCCTCTTCCTGATGTATAAATTTCCTTTTTGTTTCCATTTTCTCTAAAACCTCTTCGTTGCTCACATGTTCAGTCCATGGTATCCTCATTATCTTTCCGTAGAACCAAATTTCTGTCGCTTCAAGTCTCTTCTTCATCTTTGAGGAGATTGTCCTGCATTCACTGCTATACGGAAGACAGATAGCATCTACAAGTTCAGTAGTCTTTTATTTGTTTCTACCGAATTTTTTAATACTCTGCTTAGGTTTTGAAATGCATATTTGCCCATCTCAATACAATTATTGTCTTAATTCTCTTTTATTAAAAATGCAGTAAATTTATTCCCATCGCTTAAGATTGATAACCTTCTTGAACAAATCGTTTGTTACTGCTACAATTCAAAATGAATTTTAAAATTAATTAGGTTTTCAAGCAAATCATTTTATTCTAACCACGTGATCTAGTGGAAGCTCAAGTTTTGATGGTGTTTCTGAATTTTCGTCTGCGTTGTCGATGGGGGTAATTTTAATGAGGCACCATTCTTTGAATGCATATTGGAACTCAAGTTCACCCCAGACGTCAATTGGTACTTATATATACGATCTATCGCTAAAGATGTAAGTAAAAATAGTCAGTTCTTTGTACCTCTCCAGAACGTATCTGATTCCTCAAACTATTCTCTGCCTTTACAATAATCAGAAGAGACGAAAAATGGAGTATTGTGGTCATATCTGCCTAGTCTTCACTTTCCATTCTTGACAGAGTTCAAAAGCGCCTAGGCGACTTTGTGGGTGATGGTGATTTCCTATTCTACAACTCCTTAACCTACAGACGAAAAGTTTGTAGCCTTTTGCTACTCTATCGTTATTCCCATTTTGTTATTTATCTTACTCATTTGCTGTTTTTTTTTGTTTTTCTTTGTTCATAGCTGATTTATTTCTTTAAAGTAGATTTGTGTCTACCATCGTCATCTGCGTCGTATTTAATCCATGCTTTAGATTCGCTGTTTTATTAAGGGCCGAGGATTTTCAACAACAAAAATGGATATCCTATATAACTCGAAGAGAAAATAATGACATAATCAAGGTTTCCATGTCCCAAATTAATTCCAACAAAAACGTATGGAAGAAGCCACCGTCAGTACTGAAAAGAGTGACAAAAGTTACTGAAAGTGGAAAACCTACTTTCCTGAATAATTATTTTCTTAGAAAGTTTTTTTTTTTTTAAATTTCAAACAGAAGTAGCACTGGCTGCTCGGTTAAAATATGCCGAATGTTTCTTCATAAGAAGCCGGCTAATTACGATTATTAAGCCAGTACGAAACTTCAGTCATATCCACATACGCATATGTATTGCCTCTAGTATTTATTGAATACAGAAGAAATCATTATCATCAACATTTATTGTCAACCACTGGAACTTTTCAGAAGCAAATGGCTAGATATGGTGTTTTCTTTTATTTTTCATTCAAGTAACGTAGCAAAAAATGTTTTCATGTCTGTATTTTGATCTACAACCTTGTGCAAATAAATTGAAACAACACGAATAATTCCGGTATTATTTACTTTTTTCGTATTTTTTCCATTGAAACATGATTCAGTGTATATGTTAGTACATCGTATGTCCATTCCACGAATTCTTTCCTTGCAGATTGACCACAGATTCTCGATTGGATTTAAACCAGAAGAGATTCCGAGCAAGTCGATAATACTTTGCTTTACTCACTGGTAAGTCTTGCCAGTGTGTTTGTGCAGCGTTACAATTTTCGTACGCTCCTTGGAGTAACGGACATTGCAGACAATGGCCGTAGGACAACTAATCGACAGTCGAGACAATAGTATCTGGGTCTGATGAAAATCTGATGCAATCACGGATGACGCAGTATTTTTCAAGGCCAAACAAATTTCATCATGCACTTCGAAAATAATATGAGGAAAAAATAGAAATCGATAACACCCTGTCACCCCAGTGGGTCTAAAACTGGTCGTATAGTGAAAGAAAGGAAACTAAAGCGGTTGTTTTAATAATTTGCGCAAGGGTGTAAATTCTGGTTTTTTTCTTAATAATTTCTGTTGGTGTGGTTAAAGTAATTACAGGCTTCTCTTAAATCTTTCTTCATGGAGTCAAACCAGGATAATGATGTATACGAAAGAAACTGGGAATTACATCCACGACAAATGAAAGGAACAAAATGTGTTTTTCTTTCCACTATACTCAACTATAAATCAGAGTACATACAATAGTCATATTCATGTTTGTTCAGTAATTAAAATAAAAGATTCTTCAGTGGTTAAGACGCAGAAACTGCGCGAATGGTCTGTTGTAGGAGGCTGAGCCATTGTATCTTCTCCATATATGAGTCTGTACAGCAATAAAACTTCTTTGAAGGCGAAACAATTTTGAAAGCATTGGTCACATCTGGCAAAAGAAAACAAAGAAACCAAATTTTAATGTTACATACACCACATACAAACAGACATTCCTGTCCGAATGTATTATATCAATTTCAGAAATGTCCAGAAATTTGGAAGCAATTCCAGAGATTTTCAGAAATTTTGAACTAATTCCGGAAATTTCCAGAAAGGTCTAACCAATTCCAGAAATTTTCAGAAATTTGGAAGCAATTCCAGAGATTTTCAGAAATTTTGAACTAATTCCGGAAATTTCCAGAAAGGTCTAACCAATTCCAGAAATTTCCAGAAATTTGGAAGCAATTCCAGAGATTTTCAGGAATTTTGATTTAATTCCGGAAATTTCCGGAAAGGTCTAACCAATTCCTAAAATGTCCAGAAATTTCTAACGAATGCCAGAAAAAAAACGAAATTTCCCGCGCACTGAGAACAAGATGGAATCCACGCAGATGAATTGATATATAAGCATACCCTACTATAGCCTGCCTATATTTCACAAATTTCCTTTCCAGCATTACTCGCCTCGAATCATGTACGTTTTCTACTGATTTTTCTCCAAAATTTCGAATAGAACATTCTTTAAACGTTTCTCTTCTTATTAACTAAGTGCCAAAAGTGTAACTGAAATCAAATTAATTATTTATTTTAATTAGAATTTTAAAACTCAGGTGCCATTTACGTAAAAGATTTCGAATGTAAATTAATACGATTTCTATTTATTCACATATATAAAACTTTTCACAAAGTTTTTTTAATTTTTTTTTTAATGGTTAAATTAATAAATAAATAAAAACGGAAGTGAATTACTTAAAATCTAATTTCTAAACCGATCAAGTTAAAATAAAAATCATTAATTCACGAACGCCGTTTCGTCCGGCTAATGTAAATTTTGTAATTCGTCAGGAAAATGGAAGTTTTACAAATTGTCTTTTATATTTGTTATATATGTATAATCTTAAAATGTAAAATGAATATTAATTCACGAACGTGTTTATGTTTAATGTCTTTTTAATGTATTTCGTCCGGCTAAATTTTCCGATGTAAATTTTGTTATTTTCTGATAAACAAAAGATTCGTCACTATAAACTTCTCTTCCACAATCTGGTTAAGGCACGGAAGTTTTAAAAATTCATAACGAAATGTCTTTTATATTTGCTGTTTAATATATATATATGTATAAATGCATATCTGATTATATATGTATGTCTGTATTTCTGAATATATATATATATATATATATATATATAAGATATATATATATAAATTTTATATATATATATATATATATATTATATGGCGTCATATATATTGTCTGTTAGGATGCGCAGGTTCGAATCCTGTCTATGAACGAATATTTTCTATGAAAATTTCTCAGACATTCAGGTATAAATGTTATTTCTGTTTATATAAACAGAGCATTTGCTTAAATGTATAAAATAACAACGTTAAATATGTAAAAAATGTCTTTAATAAATAAATTGTCGGACCTTGTTTATTTCTGTATATATATATATATATATATATATATATATATATATGAACACACATGTAGGTGTTATATGTGTATCTGTGTATATATAAATATATGTGTATATATATATGTTTAAAAGTACAGAAGCATGATTAAGGAAATGAAATTTTATATATTACTTAAAAGAATACATGATTAGTAAATTTTTACCAAAAAAAAATATTGCATAAATATTATACAAAGTACAAAAATTTACATAATAATAGTTTTTTTTTTAAATAAATATTAAATGACACAAAGGAAATAAGCTACTGGACAAAAGTTAAGGAACGATTTTGTTAATACTTGACTGTGTACAAAATATCAACAAAATTTAATATTTGGTAAACATCCCCTTATTTTCAATGACTTCTCTGCATCGTCGACCACATGATCTAATTAATTTCTTGCAAAAATCAACAGTATTTCCCTCCCATTCTTCTTTCAATAACTCCCATAGGTGATCCTGTTTTTTTCGGGCTTCTTTTCTGAGTCCTTTCTCCAATTATCTTCCAAACATTTTCTATTGGATTCAGATCGGGGCTCTGGGCTTGCCACTTCATTAGGGCGATTCCTTCTTCTTCAAATAAAGCCATAACCTTCTGAGCCTTGTGGCAAGGTGCATTTTCCTGCATGAAAATAGAAGATTCATAAAGATTATGGTGTAGTCTTGGTATCACATGCTGCTGAAGAAGCCTTTTGTAAATCTTAGCATTGATATTGCCATGTACACGGCCAACTCCTGCAGATGAAATCATTCCCCACACCATTACACTGCTGTCACCAAACTTAACGGTTTTCTTGACACATTGAGAAGACAGTCTTTCACCTGTTCTACGGCGTATGTAAGTTTTGCCCTCAGAACCAAATATAGTAAACTTGGACTCGTCACTGAAATGAACTGTATCCCATTGCGCGTCAGTCCAAACAACATGTTCTCTCGCATACTCCAGGCGTGCCCTTTGGTTTCGCTTTGAAATGAGAGGCTTCGAAGCGGGAATACAGGTATGCAATCCTGCAGTTTTTTAACCTGCGAGCAACAGTTTTCCTTGAGATCTTATTATCTGTCTCTTCATTAAATTTACGGGCAATTGATGTAGCAGTTTCAAAACGGTTTTTGTAGATATTCTAACAATTCTTCGATCTTATCTTTGCGATGTTTTTGGAGATCTGCCGGTTTTTGGTTTTGCATCTAACGTTTTATCAGTTTTATACCGGCTAATTACACGATGAACGACACTTTTAGACCTATGAACACTATCAGAAATTTCTGAAATTGACTTTTTTCTTGATAGTTAGCGATGAATTTTTTCTTCAAAAGAGAGCGTTTTGCGTGTAGAATTTGCCATATTGCTTAAATATAAAGTCCTAATGATAAATGAACTTTTACTTATTGTTGAAAAGCTCCATCGAGTCTTTAACAATGTAAATTAAAAGTTTATGCAAATTATTAACATCGTTCCTTAACTTTTGTCCAGTAGCTTATTTCCTTTGTTCCATTTAATCTTTATTTAAAAAAAAAACTATTATGTAAATTTTTGTAACTTTGTATAATATTTATGCATGACATCCTAATCTTTATTCGGTAAGAATTCCATTGCTAATCATGCATAACATTTTAAGTAATACACATATTTATGTCTTTGTTGTTTCCGTTCCTTATATTATGGCCGCTACTGTATTCATGTCCATATATGTGTGTGACTATATATATATATATATATATATATATATATATATGTGTGTGTGTGTGTGTGTGTGTGTGTGTGTGTGTGTGTGTGTGTGTGTGTGTCTGTCTGTGTCTGTGTGTGTGTGTTTAGGTACCTCCACTAATTCGGTATACATAAGGTTTAAAATGACTTTTTAAAAGTTGAAAAGCTTTCTTGACGATTTCATTTTACCTTTAATTGAAAGCTAAAGGAGTTAAATTTTACTATTTCCAGTAACTCTCTGCTGTATTTCAAACAGAAATTATATTGATAGGAATCGATATTTTTCAGTAAAATTGATAAAATCGGTCATTTTGACACAGTTGTTAATTATAGATTTAAAAATTTTGCAAAAATAAAATATATTTTTAAAACGTTATTTGAGGAACATTAACAAATCTACAGTCAAATTAATCGGATTTGAAACAAATATTACTAATTTATGGCATAAAATGTTGTATACAAGCATTTCTTAACCACAGGTCTTTTTTTCTGGCGTGTTGATCCATTCATCGACAGTCTAACATGTTGAAAAGCTAAGTATGGTAACGCATGATTGCTGGCAGACGATAAATTTTATATGAAGGGACAACACTTAAAACACGTAAACTTTTAATGATAATATCAGGCACGAACTCGCATACTTAGGACATTTACACCCAAAAATAAATAAATTCTTTTTCAAAAATATAGGACGACATCAGATTGTAATAAGTTTTACAATAAATGATTAGTAAATATACTTTTATTAATAAAAATATTTTCTTAGAGTTATCGCATTGAAACTGAATTTTAAAAGATTTAAAAACTTTATTAATTATTCAATTTAAAATTGTAAATAATTAAAAACAAATCATGGAAAAATTCATTTTTCATCTAATTTTTTCTTTAGACAATATAGTCTTTAATGTATATGATTCATAAGAACAATTAAAAATTTCTCTAAGTAAATAATGTCCTAGTTTTATTGCGTTTTTTTTTTTTTTGATTCAGAAGAGATTTTTGGTAAGGCTGGATTCAATTTTTAAAAAAGTCAGTGATTTAAATTCTTCAGAGAATTCTGCTTTGATCGAATATATTTACTAAAAATTATGACGTTGAATTTTTCAAGTTTTCATAAAATTAAGTAAGTGGATGAAACACATATAAACAAATAATATTGTTACCAAGATTTTCTAATAAGGAAATGTCAAGAATAATTTCATTCACTTGTGAATAAGTCCTGAAGATTTAATTCGAATCCAACAATTATTTAATTTTTGCGAGAATTTCCAATTTAATGTGTCCATCACCTCAAAAAAAAAAAAAAAAAAAAAAAATGCCAAAATTTGCTATGCTAAAATAGGGTAAATCCGATGACGCAAGAAAAACATTTTTTTTAATAGAAATTTAAAATTGTTTAAAAAAGAGTAAACAATTAATAATTAAATATTCGAAAAATACTTTCATTTTTCTCTTAATAATAACAAAGATTTTGAGGATAAAACTGTTTCATTACGTTTGGAGCCTGTTTTAATCACTGTATGTTCATTTTTTTGCAATTTCGTGGAGGTACCTCTAAATATGAGTATGAGTATATATATATATATATATATATATATATATATATATATGTGTGTGTGTGTGTGTGTGTGTGTGTATTTCTTTCAGGTTTTAAATGAAAGCCTCAAAATGCTACCCGTCCACCGCAAAAATTCAACCATAACCCTTTGAGCTCTGCGTTTCTGAACAATTCTAACCCTTCTGCCTGATCTCCTGATTCAAAATTCGCTAATAATTGGTATTTAATGTTTCACGGTAGATGTAAAAATAGTTACAAGTGTTTACCTACTGTTCAATCGGTGGCCAGGCTTTGCGTCATTTTTTTTTACCACCGGTAAATCGCTCAAAGGTTTAAATGCACCAGGAAAACAAAATCGTTGTTTAAATTAAAGTGTTAATGCTGCGAAAAACAATCTCAAGTAACTGGTTAAAAAAAAAGACCTAAATTGGTAAAGCGTGTTTCTTACGATAACCTTACTTGGTTTTTGTGAAGATTAAAATATATTTGACTTTTTTATGTTTCTTACATTCTCTTTCTATGTGTCGGTCGCGTTCATGGCTCTCCAAAACTTCCTATCATTTGTTGCTCTTAGTTCGCCTTGGTTGTCTTTGTATCGTGCCTCCTACTCACTGTTCTGTTATCAATTCACACAACCTCATTAAGTAGGTGGCCCGCTGCCTCTACAAGTTCTTTTTTCCCTTCGATATCTCCTATGAGTGACTAATAACTCCTACCTCATAATGTGGCCCAGAAATGGATAAGTCAACGGGAAACCACTCCACTGCCAACACCAAAAACAACCATCACATAGAAAATAAATATCCTTTTACAATTTTGTGTTACCATAATGTCGTCCAATGTCTTGTGGGCGAGTTTCTCACCATCTGAAAATAGGTATTCATCACAGCTGAACGGGATCACCTCGTATCGATTCAGCTACTTTCGTCCGGTCACAACATTCCAACCACCTGAAGAAGGCCGGAGCGTACAACGGCTGAAACATTGTAATAAATATGGCGACAAAGATGAGGACAATAGTCCGAATAATGTAAATAATGTATATAATACCTCATCTCAGAAATATAGACGTGTGACTAACGCATTTGATAAACTTTTATGTATAAAAAACATAAAAATGATTTTATACATAACAATTTCCACGACTATACCGCAGAGCTAGGTCTGAAAAACTAATGAAATTGTTAATTATGTTCCTAAATTGTTGTTGCAAATTAAAATTTGCCCTGTTAAAGTCTATTAGAGGACGAAACTTATGGGCTAAGAAACATTTTTCTTTTTCCCTTATTCATATATATATATATATATATATATATGTGTGTGTGTGTGTGTGTGTGTGTGTGTGTGTGTGTGTGTGTGTGTGTGTGTGTGTGTGTGTGTGTGTGTGTGTGTGTGTAAGCTATATTTAGGTAGCATGTCTTCATCCAAACGAGTTGGATTAAAAACAAACCGACATGGTCTGTTTGTTTATTTTTTATTATATTTTTCCAATTTCCGAATAGTCTTGTTTGATAGAAGAAAGTACTTGACCAAAAATAACACAGGTTATCACACTTAACTGAACGGTATGACTTGGGCACGTAGGCAGTTTTAAAGTGTTTGACAAGTTTGCACTCTCGCTGTATATACTACATCATACATATCTTGTGGAAAGACAATGTCCCCGACTCCGTACCTCTTGCAAGAACAAAAAAATACCAAGTGAAGAGGCCTTTCGAATCATCAAGATGGACCTGAAAGCAATGTAGATCGATGTAAAAAACTGGGAACAGCTGGCCGTAGAATATATGGCGCCGAACGCGTCACATTAGAGTACCGACAATCAAAGCATCGAGGCTGGCCAGTTGCCAGCGAGTATCGGCTCGGAGACATGACTGTCACGCGTTTCAAACCACCGAACCTAGCTGCATCTCGTTTCATTGTCGAATATGACACAGACAGCCCGATAATAATATATGACAAATGATATCAGAAAGATTTACGTTGATACTTATCTTTGTACTTACATCTCGAATTAGCGATGTTCTTTACTCTTATGCTTGGAAGCTGCAAGCTGCACACAAAAGAGTATGTGTAGTCGATGGCAAGACTGAATGGACGATGTCGTGAAGTGCGACGGGTGACCAACAGCACGTCATTAAAGAGATAGAAGCCGACAATTTCTGTGCGCTGGTAGACTCTGAAATATTACGTACAAGAAAAAGATTTTTAGTTACCAAACAAATTCAATAAAGTGTGGGTGCTGATAAAATCATAGCATGTGCAAACTCATGAAGAATACGAGATGTGAATATTTCATATTTAATATTACGTTTTATTCAACTTCATTAATTAATCTCAACCAGTGTGCAGAGTGCGGTCGTTGCCTTTCTCCGATACCTGTACAGTGCGGTCATTGCCTTTGTCCGACAAGCGTAAAGTGGGACCCTTGGTTTTATCTAACACGGGGACAGTGCGGTCATTATCTTTATCCGACAAGTGGACAGTGCGGCCCTTGCCTTTTCCCAACACCTAGACATTGCGAACCTTGTCTCTGGCCGACACGTGGACAGTGGGGCCATTGCTTTTGTCCGACACGTGGAAAGTACGGTCGTTGCCTTTGTCCGACACGTGGACATTGCGACCCTTGCTTTTGCCAATATCTGGACAGTGAGTTCCTTGCCTTTGTCTGACACATGGACAGTGAGGCACTTACTTTTATCTTTTATCCAACACGTGGACAGTGTGATCGTTGGCTTTGTCCCCACGCGTGGACAGTACGGTAATTGCCTTTTTCCAACAACTGGACAGTGCGGCCCTTGCCTTTGTCCGACACGTAAACAGTGGGGCCCTTGCTTTATCTGACACGTGGACAATGTGGTCCTAGACTTTGTCTGAAAAGTGGACACTACATTATTATGAGAAATCTGGAAAAAAAAACTCCCCAACTCCTTTTCTGGATCGATTGTTTATATAATCACGTTTATTACAAATCTTTCGAATGTTTACACAATGACATGCAGATGTGAGGTTACGCGGTTCTATATTTGGCGATCTGGAATAATCTCAGTACTTGTACATGAATAACATGAATTTACCCCATTCCTGCAGACTAAATGTCGCAAGTCTATCGCTCCTGTATCAATACATTTTCATGGAAAATATCGTGACGTGTTATATTCTTTAATTTCACCAGTTCAGACCTTCCCAACGAAGCCCTACCATGCCATGTGTGCTGGGAGAATTGTACTCATTCCATTCGTACTTCGTTCCTTCTTGACTAATAACATGAGGTAGAACAACTACATTGAATTAATAACTGAATCTTCTGCAAGTAAAGTCAGTTCACTCTGTCGTGCCAGAAGGGTTTTCTAGTTACAGTCTATCTTACACATCTACAAATCTACCATTCGCCCATGCATTGGATATTGTTGCCATATCTGGTCTGGTGCCCCAGCTGTTCATCTCGAGATTGTTGACAAAATCTAAAGAAGAATCCGCAATGTAATCGATCTTGACTTGACATCTCGACTTCAGTCATTCTATCATAGACGTGAGGTGGCTTCCCTCTGTTTTTTTCTGCAAATGTTTTCATGGCAACTGTTCTGATGACCTATCTTCCCTGATGCCCTAACTATATGAATTTAAACATGCTACTAGATTGGCATCGAGGTCCCACCCCTTTACTGTTGAAATAGTTAAATATAACCAATTCTACTCCAGCAGTTTTTTTTTCTCGCGCTTCCCGACAGTGGAACTCCCTTCCTCTTACTTGCTTTCTTGATAACTATAAACTCCAAAAATTTAAATGCAACGTCAATCGCCATCTTCTATTGTTGTGATCCCCGTTCTTCTTCTATCCTTTCCCCCAATCCCCCTCAATACACTGCCTTCTCCCTCACTTTCACTGTCGGAAACCCCTTACGTGCTAGTGGCTCTCCCGGCTTGCATGGGGTGAAAAGGCTTGAAAAACCATGAAGGAAGTTACATCTGAACAGTTTCTCCGCGAACATTGCTGCTTTGTGGAACAGACTTCCGATGTGGTGATTCTCCGATCATTTCATTCTTAACCTCTTCAAGTTTAGATTTAACCGTTCCGCATATCCTCATAATCTATTACTTCCACCTTTTATGATAACGCAATAATCTCATTGAGTAACACTCTACCTTGAGTGGCTATTGGAAACTGCGTGAACAATAAATAAAAGAAAAACATTAGAAATGAAAAAATAGCCAAAGCATAATATCTATATAAAATCTTAATATATTAACAGGATACTACCCACTCACCAAGTTCAAATCCCCAATTAGGCTAAAGATTGCATATATATATATATATATATATGTGTGTGTGTGTGTGTGTGTGTACTGTACACTACGGGTAAAGAAGAGCAAGCAACATTCAGCTCTACATCAGTTAAAAAATCTGGAAAAGCTTATATTCTAATTTTAAAAAAAATGTCAAGCATAGCATTTTTAATATACACCATAAAGACTCGCTGGTAGCGAATTATCTGTGATATTAATACTGAATTCCCTGATACTTTCGGAGTTTTTATCATCATACCATCTTGCCCATCTAGTACGTCCATTTTTGATCATGCTCCAGCACACAACCCAGCAGCAAACTACTTTCAAATTTCGATGTATTGTGTTATTTTCACCAACAATAACTGCAAATAATAATAGTATTAATTTTTAATGACTAATCAGCAACTTAGTCAATGGGAAAATCTTCTTCCAATTCGTCTCATCTGTGATATAGCATCAATCTCTGATTGTCTTTAACATTCCATAATCTTGAAGGATACTTCGCAAAGAACCGTTATGACTGAGTGAAAATTGGAGCATATTATAAAAGATTAATTGGAGAATATTATAAAAGATTAATTGGAGCATATTATAAAAGATTAATTGGAGAATATTATAAAAGATTAATTGGAGCATATTATAAAAGATTAATTGGAGAATATTATAAAAGATTAATTGGAGCATATTATAAAAGATTAATTGGAGCATATTATAAAAGATTCATAAATAGCTATCATATAGAATTTTTTGAGATGAAATGATTATCAAAACTTGAATATAAAATAAAATCAACTACAAATGTGAACTCTGTGCAGAAACAATTGCATACAATTTTTGTGTAAATTTAAAAATTCTTGATAAAATCCAGAGAAGGGTCTGTAATTGTGAGTTTACACCCTGGTCTATGTAGCACGGACTTACATAACTAAGAAGGACTAAATAGAAAAAGAGACATCCGTAGACAGGGGCCGTGGAACAAGAACAATCTGTATAAATAGATTAAATAAAGGTTTCGATTCAAAATTTCTGTTACATCGTTTGACAAAAATCTGAAGAAGACCGGAAAATACCACTGCCGAAACGTTGTGATAATAACAAAGATGATTAGGTCTGTCAGACTGTAAATATTATAAATATCAGGCATCTTTTCACGAGTCAGTTTCTTATCAACGTGACGTGGCTTCCTACTGTTCTCCACATTTTCATGGCAACTGCCTTGATGAGCTTTTTAACTGGTACCCCAACAGAATGAATTTAAGCGTGCTACTAAATTAACAAGTAGGCCTTATCGTCTTCCTATCGAAATATCTAAATGCAACCCCCACTTCTAGTCTAACAGATCCTTTACTTGCAGTTCCAAGCTGTGGAACAACCGATTTCTTGATTCCCTGATAACTGCAATCGTAAAAATTGAAATGCATCGTCAATCTTCAGCTTCTATCTTCTTGAAGTCTATTCCATTGTTGTCATTTCCACCATCCTCCCCATTCTCAGTTTTCTCATTCTCTATCACTTTCACTCTATGTACCTCTTCCCCACTGTGTTCTAATTACATTTATCACCTTGCTTGAGGTGAAACGATATTTTTTTCCTAATGCCAATCCTATTAAGAATCAATGATACCCTGACGAGGGCAGATTTGTTTACTAATGTCTTCTTGTTCCCGTGACTTTGTAAAACTGAAACGCCTTGATTTACAATATTTACGACTTGCTATATCGTTTACTCATTTAGATACACGTTTTCACTGTTATATTTACACTTTGGCTCTCTCTGTCATACTTTTCTTTACATTCCATTTGACCGTCTCGCTTAGTTTGTTATTCAGAATAAGATAATCTCAAGTTTGTATTTATTTATTTTCCTACTTTCACCCTTTTGACTTTCAATAAACCTGCCCACGACTTGGATTTTATCTGAAGAGAATTACCGTGAGGCGTGTATCTGGCTATCCGATGTACTCCTACGTGCGATACAAACGAGTATTGGAAAACAGAATATATATATATATATATATATATATATGTGTGTGTGTGTGTGTGTGTGTGTGTGTAAATATATTTATATGCATACATATATTCTGCCTTCCAATACACGATTGTCTCCCAAAAAACCAATACAAAATTTATATATATAGTTTCATGCTAGACGTAATCGTCAGGCCTGGCATTGTTCTAGCATTTTCCATCTCAAAATATTGTCGTTATCAAGCCTTTCTTAAGTATATTTTCATATATAGATATATATATTTTATATATATATATATATATATATATATATAAAAATGATACTTTTATTTATATTAACAAACAATGCTGGGGATCTCATGTAATGTGCATAACTTTAATGTTCAAATGTTTGATTTGTTGAATAAAAAAACTATGTACATTTTATTGAGTTGTGGTTTTTTCTTCCATTTAATGTAGATGGCCTCCAATATAAATGAAGAATCTTTTTCACTGCGAAAAAGATATGCGTGAACCAATGTTTTAATGTATTGTGTTAATTTTTTTAATATTCTTAAACAATATTATTAAATTTTATTGTGTAAGACTAATATCTTTTAATAAAATAAATATATATATATATATATATATATATATATATATATATATATATATATATAATATATATATATATGTGTTGGTGTATACGGAATAAATTCCAATAACCAACAATTACTATTCTTAAAAGAGTGCTCAATACAGAGTAGAGCGAATATAATTATTTATTCGAAAATTATAACATAAATATGTTATAAAATCACTACAAAAATAGCCATTTTGTTTCAACACCTCTGGTGTCTTATCAAGTGATGATGTTGAATGTAGAATAAAGGGTTTTAAAAAGTTCAAATCAATCAAACACCACTTGCAAGGGGAAACGCTGTTACATAAGCTGGAATGGCCAATCAAAATACAAGTATACGAGAATTCAAAAAACGAACTAAGGTTATAATAACTATTTAATGCCTTAATGTTGGGGTTAGACTAAAATAGAATTTATTCTAACTAATAAGTATTAAATTATACGATAAAATTTGAAACAAAAAATTAAAATTACCCATTTTAAAAATTAATCTCTATTAAGTTTAAAATTATAAAATTACTGAGGAAAAAAGAAAAATATATGTTATTCTATTTATTTTGTCTTTGTTGAAATTATGTTGGAATAAACGTTAATATCAACTGTATTTCAGAGCTTCTTCACAACATAGATACATTTGATTTCTAAATATAGATAGGGGAGGATGATATCTTGCTAATGACAATACATGCACAATCAGATTATAATACATACGCACGAAGACGTATTTAAATATATACAC